GTGAGGAGTAAAGATACAAAGAATTATTGTTATAATTTGCATATTTATATCTATACCAACATATATACCTCCACATTTTACTTAATTGTTTTCTCTTTTTATCATGTATAAAACGCAGCACATATTCCGTTTCAATTTTTTTGTATATATATGAAATCATTGCGCCTTTAATTCATTTATTATATTAGAAAATAGTATATGAATTTATATTAAGTGGTTTTATATACACACCTATATATATACATATATATGTAGAACAATATTGATTTGTAATAATTACCTTTATCCTTGAGATAGTCATACTAACTTTACACAATACCATTCTTTATAAAAAAGAGAAAAATTAAATAACAATTTAATTTTTTTTTTTGTTTTGCAGAATTTTTCAGGAATAATTTCAATAATCGAAGTTTCATGTAAAAATATATATATACAAATACATACATAATGTATGATAAGGTATATATTGTACATCTTGTTCCAGGCCATCCACATAATTGGTCCGAAAAGCAAAAAAGGGTTCAATAATAATCAATAGATTGTTATAAAAAATCAAAAACAAAAAAAAACCTATAAAATAACTTTTGTTTAATTTTTGTTTTTACTTTTCCTCCATGGTTTTAAAAATTATATCATATACTGAGTGTTCCAAAATGAAAAACAATTTTTTTTTTCTTCTATACTAGGTGAAAAAATCTGGAAAAACGAAGAAGGACGGCCTTTTTCCTCCGGCAGTGGGGGAGCGTGACTCCTACCCTTAAAAATCACCTAAACTCTGAACGGATAAAATTGGTCCTATACACCAACTATTACCTTCGCGCTAACTTGGTTTTTTCGTACAGGAACTAAACACCTTCCATAAGGAAATTGGTATTTCGTATTAAATCGAAAGGTCTTGTTCGTTTAAGTCTTTCTGTCATAACGCCATTGTCTAGCAATGAGCCATATGCTTTGTAGCACAACTCCTAATTTCATCCACAACCAAAGGAATTTCTAAGTCTCTGCGGATATTAGTGTTACGTACATACCATGGCGCATTTACCATGCGCCGTAAAACTTTATTCTGGAAGGTTTGAATTTTCTTAATGGGAGTCTTCCTGGCACAACCCCACAGTTGAATGCTGTATAGCCATATTGGTTTAATAATTTGGGTATAAATCAATAACTTATTATCAATTGCCAAATTGGACTTACCACCTAGGAGCCAATAATTTTCTCTATACATTTATTTTCTAATTCTATGTGTTTCTTCTTTATATGCTCTTTCTACCTTAGCTTGACATCTAAAATCATTCCTAGGATTTTGCTGAGTTATGGATTTCGTTCCATTTAAGTAAATTTGTGGTAGATTCACTATTTTTCGATTCGCGAAGTTTATGTCAACCGATTTTGCTTCATTCAACTTCATTTTCCAATCTTTCGTCCACTGGCTTTCTTTGTTACTTGAATGCCATATATCCATATTGGTAAAATGAACATCAACGTCATCTTCTTCTCATGTATTAATTATATTTAAATATGCTGCAGCATCCTCACTTGCTCCTCACAAACTAATTTTAGGTACTCATATTATCATACTGTTCCTTGTAACCAAAATTTTATGTAAGTACTCATATTCATAATTAATACAATTTAATATACTTAATTTTTTAAATTTTATAATGTTGTTTTATATACAAAAACACCCTGTGTTAACAATAATATCTTGAAATGTATTAAATCACACTAATATATTTAAGTCACCGTATTTATGAATTTATTATCATGTACATATAAATATTTATACATATATGTATATATTTTTAAAAGAAAATTGTATTATTAGAGCTGCCATATACCATATAGCTTTTATATAGTATTCCCAAACAAAGAAATGAAGTGTGTATACATAAGCTTGGATACTCAAATATTATTTATTGCGATTTGCATATTAGAAATGCATTTGAGAGAAAATAGAGGTGAGAAAATAATGAAAAATTTTAGAGTAGAGAGAGTGCAGAGAGAGAAACGAATATATTAATTGAAATACTTAAGGTACTTGACATATGTGCCACAATGTGTCAATATCAAAATATTTTATCCTTTTTTTAGTATTTTATAAATATAAACAGTATATTGTAAAAGGTTGCTTGTTCCAATACACATAAATATATTATTATTACACCTATTTATGATTAAATATATTGTGTTTTAATGAAAATCAAATTGAAATAGCGCTATTCTTCTATCCGTTCTACTCGATATACAATATAATTTCGGTGTATACAGCGAACTAGAGGAACTCATTTCTCTTCTTTTGTGTTAGTCAAAATTTTACATTCAATACCAAACTATCTGCTTGCATAATAATATTTTCATTCTTGCATTTATTTCAATTTCTAATTGAAAATCTGGCAACCTGTAATTGTAAAATAATTTATTATTTATGTTCTCATTATATGAATGTACATATATATATATATTGTATATGCGTCAAAATTTATGTACATGCCCATATATTTCTAGTGTATTACATTGATTTTTATTATGAATATGCAGATATAATAATTCATCAGGAATATGAATTAATGTTTTTGTTTTTGTTATTCTGCTTTTCTTGGACTTCTCTTTGCGATATCTGGTATATGAACTTTTTCTTTCCTTTTAATAATTTTTTTTTTGAATCATGAATGCAGAGCTAAAGTCAGATTATTTTTTTTTTTATGTTTTTCATTTTCTGGCTTTCTTATGTGAACTGGAATAAATTTTTGTTTTTAAATATATTTTGTTTTTTGTTTTTTTCTTTTTTTATATTTAATAATAACAATAATTGCTATTCTACCACAATATTTCATTATTTTGTTCACGTACATATACCTACACTATAATTTATAATATTAAATATATTTCATGTACATTATATACATACACATATATACATAATGTCCTTATACATTTGAATGTACGTTATTATAATAAATATAATATGATAAATAAATATGAGTCTGTCTTTTATATATAAATAAAAGAAAAACAAAAAAAAAAAATAAATTAGAAAATTAAAAAAAAAAAAAAATTTTTTTTCCAAGGATTAACACCATGTTTAAAATTTTATTTTTAATTTTCTTTACAGTTGACCATGTATACAAAATTCAAAAATATACCAAAGAATTTTCCTAATTAGAAATTATTGATAAACTTCTTAAAGAATTTATACCGCATAGTCGAATTTCTAAAGCAAATTTTTGCATTTTGGAAAATCCAATATGTTTTTGGATAAATTGCAAAGCAAATTATGATTTAAAAAAATTTGTAGTGAAAATAAACATGAAAACTGTAACATTTTCTTTATGTGATATATGAAAAATCCTACAATACATAAATCGGTTTCGTCAAATTTTGAATTTTTGTTTTAATTCTTTGTGGAGGAGTGCCATTGTTCAATACAATATAAATATTATGAAGATATTTGCAAACTAAATATCATAAAAATTCCTCATATTTTATTATAGATTAGACCCATTAACCATATCTATAGGCTTAATTACCCTACCTTTTCAAAAATTTTAGTGTCCGAACTAATATTTTAGTATATTAAAATAACCATATTTTTGTATAACATCCAAAATATGTGAACGTACATTCACACTAACACAGCATATTATAAACGTTTATTAAAAAATTATTTACCAATTTACAAATCGAAAAAAAATTTCCGAAAAAAGCATAAACAGAAAAACAAAAAAACACATTTTTTTACAGCTCTAAAGTTTAAAAATTGCTAATTGCTCACACACAACTCTTTTCATAAAAAAAAAAAAAGAAAATTTTAATTTGTATTTCACACAAACTCAAAAACAACAAAAAAAAAAAATTATAAACATAAAGGAATTTTTTTTGGTACACTATGCAAAACTTGCAGTGCAACTAAAAATTCAAAAAAAAAAAGAAAATGAAATGAAAAAAAGTAGAGATCCAAGGCAAAATCAGAAAAAAAAAAATAAAAGCTACATTTATTTTAAGATTTTTTTTTTAATTCGACTCAGAGAGTATGCATCAATATTCCACTTCCATTATATACTGTATATATATATATATGTATACAGGGTGTATCGCATAAAGTAGCAAATAATTTCATAGATGATTCTTTGATCAATTTCCAGTAAAAAATTGTATTGGTTGGCAGGGGCGGCAGATATATTCGTTTTCGAACTACAACCTGTTGAAAAAAGGTGCCGGACTTTTCTTGCATATAAATAAATGCTTATAACTTTGGAATCATACAACATAGAGTTATTGTTGAGAGCTTGTTTTACAAGCCATTGATTATTCTTTATTTTTGGTATTCACCTTATGCAAAACACCCTGTATATATATTAAATCTAAGTGTATATAATAAAAATTATACATGCATAAGATGTTCTACTCACACAAGAGAGATGATTTCAGGAACGATACAATCTTCTTGATTAAACAAACAGAAAAAGGATGCCAGATGAATTAAAATAAAATGGAAGTATACACATACTTCGTAAATTAGTCTTTATATTCTTGATTTTGCATAAATACAAAAATTGTATGTGCATATTTGTTTGTTTTGTTTGACAGATATTTTTAATATATAAAGAATATTTACAAAATTTGAAGAAAATTTAAATAGAATCAAATTATACTCTAACGTACACTCTATATACAATATTTGTTATTTGATTTTAGAAAATAAGAAATGAATTTTGAAAAAAAATATTAATGTTTGAAATTTTGTAAAAGAAAATCTGTTAATTATCATTGGAAATCAATTGTGGTATTAAATGAGGGTCTCTGAAGCATAGTGGCATAAGTCACATACAAAAAAAATTTTTTTTGCTTGCTCCAATCCGTTATGTATATCTTCTAAAATCAGTAATATTAGTTTCCAGTTTCGAAATAGCTTTTTTCCTATTTATTTTTCACAAAAGTACTTATGCTTTTGTAAAAATTTTCTGATTTTTCAAAAGCAAAGTGGCATAATTGCGGCTTACGCCACTCTGCTTCTAAGTCCCTCAAATAATTGTTGAGATCTTTGATACGCACTTCAACGGTATTCCCCAATATATGGTTTTTATTCTTCTCAAATACTGGATAGTAATGTTGAATAGTTAGCCACGCATATTCAAAAACTTCATGAATATTATTTGCAGAACTGTCCATGATCACCACGTTTGACTTGCCCCTGTATGAATATCCAAATATCTGAACGTCTTTATTCCAGCAAAGTATACGCTTATATTTATTTAGCTTCCAAAAATTATGATACAATGGCAATATTTTCATTTAAAAATAAAATTGTATCATAATAATTACAATGTGACCAATGTGAGAATGCAAAACAGCGAAAGAAACTAAAAAAAAAAAAATTAAAATAATTTTATATAGAATTTTTGCATCATGTTCACGTATTAAAAGAAGTAAATAACAATGATAATTTCAATATGCAAAATCAGGAGAGAAAACAAAAAAGAAATTAATCGCGCACCATATGTATACTTTACTTTATGATGCAACAAAATATGAACTTTATTAGTTTGTTAAAGAATAGAACCAAATTATACTTTAAGGCACAAAAATTTAATACAACCGTATAGTGTTATCTAAATTTATAAACTAAATCAGTTAAATAATACAAAAGTGAAATTGAAAAAAAAAATACATAATACGAGTATAGATCGTATATGCAGAAGATTTGTTACTTGATTTTGGAAATAAGAAAATTAATTTTAAAAAATCTTAATATTTAAAATATTTTAGAATAATTTTACTCGTAAATGATAGAATTTCTATTTTAAGAAATATATTTCCACTATACGAATAGAATCACAATTATTTAAATATATTTGGAGTTTAATTAAAATTATGTAAGTTTAGAAATTATTCTGAGTGAGCTCATAATTACCCGTAAATTGTAAGTTTAAAGTATATAAAGTGAAATTTTTGACAAATTTGTTGCTTTGACATTAATTATTACACATCTCTCTCAAATTCTCCATAAGTGTTTTACGCACGACAACAAATTGACACTGAGTAAGAGAGCATAAAATAGGATGAATGCGCAGAGAATATGAAAGTATGAGAAAGAAATATATGGAAGTAATTACAAAAAAACAAGAGCCAAAGGTGTAAAATTTATATCGCCAGTTAAAGGATTTCTTATGTATTAGAAATGCATGAAAGGGGGTGGATGAGGGCGTGTACAGGGGGGGGGGAGGGGGGGTGACATGCCAAGCCAAACAAAAATGAACGGTCCCGAAGTAATTTACAAGTTTCTTCATAGTTAATGTGTAATACTCGTACAATGACACTAATATTTTGTTAAGAGAAATCTTCAAAATTAGACGCGCCAAATGAAGTTTAAATAAAATGAATATCAAAAAACAACAACTTGTAGTGAAGCGTAATTAAAATTTATTCCAAATTTTTTTTAATTATCTTTTCTCACTTAATTTTATTGTGTTTTTTTTTTTGCTTTTCCAAAATCCAGAGGAGAGAGATCATAAATAATCAGTGTTGTTTTCCTCTTATTGCCTTTCACAAAATTTGTTTTTTTTTTCTTGTTTTTTGTTTTTCTCTTCTATTACTCTTTTGCCGCTGCTCTTAACAATTAACACAAATTTATTGCTAAGTTAATAATTAATTTCCCATCAGTTGATTTTTGTTCCCTTTTCACTATTAAAAAACATAAAATTTAATAAAATAATACAAAAAAATACTCCTCCATCCGATTAATTAATTTTTGAGATAAATTTATTTTGTTAACCACTTATAATGTTGGGTGTTATAAACAATTTGTTAGTTTGTTATAATTTATTTGTTTGGTTAAAATATTTGGCTCTTTGGCTTCGTAAAAGGGAACACATAAAATTTAAGAATCATAGTAAAAAATAAGAGTTTATGAATATTTAAAATTTACATTAAAATTTCATTAATATTATTTAAATGTAGATGATTTTTGATTGTTAATTAAGAAGCCTCGCAGACCAGAACTATATCACCGATTCTTAATCGATAGAAATAAGCTCTGATGTTCTTTGTCAGGATGGCATATTTAGATATATGCCATTCTGAATTAAAATAAAATGGAAGTACACATACTTCGTAAATATGCATCAATATTCTATACTTTAATATTATATGCCATATATATATGAATGTATACAAGGTATATCACATAAGGTGACAAATAATTTCAGGGATGATTCTTTGATCAATTTCCAGTAAAAAATTGTATTGGTTGGGGAGGCGCGGCAGATATACTCGTTTTCGAACTACAGCCTGTTGAAAAAAGGCACCGGACTTTTCCTACTTGTAAATAAATGCTTATAACTTCGGAATCATACAACATAGAGTTATTGTTGAGAGCTTGTTTGAAAATTCAGTTACCATTGATTTGTGTATATACGAAAATTTTATTATGTATTTTTCAATTGCAATGACTGAAAAGGGAAAAGACTGATGACTTCTAATCGGGAATTGTAAGAAGGTAATTGGTATTCAGTATTTTAATTGTGTTTCACTTTGATTTCTCATTTTCATTGTATTAAACAAAAATCTTTAGAATGACGATTTCATAATTTTTCTAGTAATGTAATAAATTTCGAGACAAACCTGAGTTTTTAAATTAGAGAATTAAAATTTAATTGGTGCGTCGTAAATAATTAAAGTCTAATTGTATTTTATTCTTCTCTGTTAATGTTAATAACAGTTCTGCTGTTATAAATTTTGGCTACTGATGCTTTTTTTGTTCGAAATTCAATTCATTATCTTTTTTTTCTTGTTTTGTTCTATAAAATAAAAATTACCTTTTTACAACAAATTAACAACAGAAATTCAAACAATTTTAAATATTTTTTTTTTCTTTTACTTGATTATTACTCTTCCTATTTGTATAATAATGTTGTTATTGTATTTAATTTCAACAAAAATAATAACAAAAATAAGAACAATAACAAAAAAGCAAATTAACACAAATCAGTTAAAAACAACAACTGTAAAGGCATTGAACCATCCAATTTATGTCTGAAAATTAACCTTTAAAGAATAATTTTTTGAGTATAAAACAAAAAAAAAAAAAATAAAAACAAAAAAATTTAGAAAATTAAGCGGGATCCGAAACATAACGAAAAAAAACGAAAAAAAATAAAATAAAATTCAAACGGAAACCGACCATTAACGCGCGTTTTTTTTCCTTTCTTTCAAAAGGGAATTTTTTTTTGATTTTTTTTTTTTAATTTCTCTTCTTTTTGTTGTTGTTGTTAATTCCTTTTAAACTTACCTTGTGATTCTTCATCACCTGTATGCCACATACAATGTATATACTATATATTTATGTACACAATAATACGCAGGCACAACTCCAACGCTAATATACTATATAAGTATATATGTATGTATACAAAATTTATGTATGCATTATACTATATTAACGTACAGGCAATTCTGTTTTATAATAAATTAATCATTACAAAATATATTGTGTGTATATATACATATTATATATACACAATAATGTGTGTATGTATACATACATTGTATGCGAAATTCAACATATTATGTAAGAATATCATAAAATTTTTATAAAAAATCTTGTTAATCAATTTATTATTGAAATGGAAAACCAAAAAAATATCCAATTTACAATTAAATTTAGAATTTTTTTTTTTTGTAACAAATCCGGGAGGAATGGCTTACCAAACAAAATTTTTTAAAAAATCTAAATATGTGGCAAATTTTGTTTTGCTTACAAGAAATATTTTTGGGTAAGTTTCTTAGGAAAAGAACCATGTACGGTTATATTCTAAAATAAACAACTCCAGCGAAATTTTGCATTTCTTAAAAATCTGATAATATTTTTATATGATCCTCTACATGCTATAACGAAAAATAACCATTTTCATATTAAATAATAAAAAAAAAAATTAAATTGCAATTGAACATAAAAACTGCAATATTTTCTATTAAATTCTATTTGTTTATAATTTATTCCGAGAACCTGCTGTACCTTTGTAAACATTTCAGTCTCTTAAAAAACAAAAATTTATATCATTTTCCTATCAAGTCCTTAATATTTAAACAGTTGCAATGAAAAATTTGTTATATAAAACTCATGTCTTTCTTAAAACGCGCAATTTCAATGGAGTTATACTCGACTTGTAGTTTTTTAAATATTGAAGAAATATGTATATGGGCAAAGGAACTCCTCCATTCTGATTAGCGCAGCTAACCAAAGATCTTCTATACCCTACTCATACTACCCCGATTTCAAATATATAACCAAGCATAAAGCAATAAGTTTATGTAAAATTTTCTTTAATACAAGTATAATACGGTTGACATCGCATTATATAGTTAAAAAGATCATTGAGATTTAAAAATATATATGTATGTAGATTTGTGAATAAAAACTTTAACCATTTTTTACGAATTTACAAAATAATTATTTAATAAGTTTGTTTTATAAGCATATACATATGTACATGTAATTATTACAGTGACTCATTTTGTTTATATACATTCACATATATAAATACATAGTATGTATATAGCTTTTATACATTCTTCATATAATATACTCACACGTGTATAAATATAAAATATATAAAAGTTAAAAATTTAATTATTGTAATCATCAGCATTCAACCCGAAATAACAACTTAAAAATTTAAAGAAACAACTAATAATAATAACAAAAGTAAAAAGAAAAAAATATCAAAACATACCATGCGTAATTTTCCCGGTTTAATCCTGCATTTCTGTGATGATCAAAAAGATAAACACAATTTTCATATTTAAGATGTATTGTCTCTGGAAGTAAACGGAAACGGAAGCAAAATATGAAAAAATCCCATTTGTTTTTTACAGACCGTATTGTGTAAACAATAGGTAGGTTATGTGATGGCAACAAATTTTGCATATCGAGTTTTCGGTGGGAATGCACTTCTCCATGGTGGGGAAGTGTAAATAAACTATTTTTAACAACCTGTCAATAAAGTATTATACATATATGCTCCGCTCGACCGTCCGTGAAACCTCCTAACTTTTGGAAGAAATCAGGTGTCAGTAACTGGACGTTTACTACGGCCAAATATACATTTTTGCGTATATAAAGAGAAATAATCGACCGATTTCATTGAACTTTAATATTAAAATTCTTCGTA